AAGATTTAATTATAGCACCTAACTCATCTTCCTTTTCTTCTTTGGTTTTGATAAGATTTTTTATTTCATCATCTTTAACGATTAATTTATCTTCTAATTCAAGCTCATGCAGTGATTTTGAATTTTGTACATCATGTAAAGTTTGCTTTAACTCCTCATTCTCACGGAGAATTGCGCTTCCTAGCTCAGTAGCTAAAGTGAGAGAATTTTCAAGGTTCTCATTAACAGGTAACAATTTACTGCTCTCCAATGTACTTGTGGTTTTATTTTCCTCATCTCCTGATTTTAAACATGCATTACACAGCCATAAATTTACATTATCCAAAGATATTTTTTTAGCCTCATTGTAGGTCAGATTTACACACCTAAGATGGTGCCACTTTTTACAGGGACCATTGCAAAATACAGCTCCAAAGGTAGCATTTTTCTCACAAACCCCACAAGGATACTTATTTGGTTTTAAACATTTTTTTTCCATCTTAATTTCTATGAAATGCAAAATAAATTATATTAGTTAAGTAATGTTTTTACAAGTATAAATTAATAAATAAATTAATATATGGAATTTTCATACAAATAAGTATAAGTTACTATGAGTTGTTTGTAAACAAAGATAACCAAGTGACAGTTCTATTTACAAAGGAAGAATTCAAACGAAAATCCGGTCAGGTTATCTTATCAGTAGCCGAGTATGGATTGAACAAACTTGCAGAGTTGAGCAGGAATGATCAGTTCAGTCCTCTTGTTTGAAAAGCCCAACTAATAATTCCAGTTTACAAAAGTGTTCATGAAGTTAAAACTAGTATTAGTGCTCACCAGGTGTATTGATGTTATGAGAAAAACATTCACTACTTTTATTTTTGAAACAGTGAGTATTAATAAATGTTATTTAATTTTAAAGCACACACATTTATAAGTCAACTTTAACCATCCGCCATCTTGCTTTTTTTTTCTTGCAAATAGCATACTCTTGCATAGCATACTTCTTGTAAATAGCATACTGTGACTCTTGTTTCTTTTACTTTTACAATAAATTAGCTATATATATATATAATTATTATATTATATGTATATATATTATATATATCATATATATTTTATATGTATATATTTTTTTTATTTCGGACTAGACAACTCAGATTTTTTTATAACTCATAATAGACTTTTTTGATGTAAAAATTAAGTATGACATTTTGATGATAGGGTTATTGAAAATTAGCTACGCGTTACAAATTTTAGTCTTAATTGGTTCACAATAGTTACGGAACACAATGAAAATACATAAGATTTTGAAAAAGTGAATAGGCAAGGTATGAATAAACGTAATACTCCTCTTCACATTCAGTGGTGGAAGGCCAAAACCGCCCCTGTTGAGGACACCGAGGTTCAAGAACTAATTGATGTTGAAGATTCCATAAAAATTAAGGAAAAATTTCCTTTTAAAACCATATATGAATTTGATTAATTCAACGCTAAGCTTGCACACGACACAAATTACAAGCAACATGTGGTAAGTCATTTTACCAACATTAAGTCAAAGAAGTTTTTCACCAAATTTACCATTATTAGAGGTTCAGAAAATATTCCGTTTGTATAACCAACATTGTTGATTGTGCAAAAATTTAAATACTGTAGGGCTACAGTCCCCGATTTCACTTTTAGTCAATTAGTGTACAGCTAGCGTCAGCTAAGCTGGCTCATGGTGGCCTGTGGGCCTGGCGCGGCACCATAGGCGGGGGGAGGGTGGAAACTAGCTTAAGACCGTTCTGAGAACATCGGACTGTCAGACGTGAGGTCCCGCGTTCCGACCGGGCAACTCTGCGAACATCTCGGCTGACTCACGGGGTTGACGTCCTAAACAAACTATGACTAATAGAGAGGGCGCTGTTATGACAAATCTTGCACGTTCCTAAGCACTGTGTCTACTCAGTAGTGAGTTTTGCTTGTGCAGTGTCACAGTGGATCGTGAAGTGGACTGTTTTCATAACGAAACGTGTGTGAGTTTTTTTGTCATGGCAGAATTTAAATCGAAAGTAGGGATTGGTGGTAAGGTTTTAAATAGTCAGAGTAGGGAAATCGTGGCAAATGTTTATACATTTATGAAAGAGGAGTGCAAGAGCGGCATTACAATACCACTACAGAAGGCGAGGGAGCGGACCGCAGCAGCAACCGGTGTATCTCAACGCTCTGTTACCCGGATAAACAGCGAACTAAACGATTTAAAGGTGAGTGAGGATGATAATAAATCTTTTTTAACACCTCACAAAACAAAAAGGAAGAAAAAGCCGATTACTGGCCTAGACCATTTCGATGAATGTGTGGTTCGTAGGACTGTCTATGAATTTTACATAACAGAAAAAAGACTGCCGACGTCAAAACTGTTGCAGAATTCTCTTAAAGAAAAGTTGAACTTTCAGGGAAGTCAATCAAGTGTTCGGAGGATTTTGAAAAAATTAGGATTTTCCTGGAAAAGGACACAGAATAATCGGAGGATTCTAATTGAAAAATCTGAGATTAGGGAAAAGAGAATAACTTATCTCCAGTCACTCAAGCGATTCAGGTCGGAAGGGAGACCCATCGTGTACATGGATGAAAGTTACGTATGTTCAGATCACGTATCTGGGAAAATGTGGTCGGATGGATCAAATAATGTTTTGCATACGCCCGTGTCCAAAGGAGAAAGACTGATAATAGTTCACGCTGGAGGGGAACAGGGATTCGTCCCAAACGCTTTGGCCATGTGGAAGGCAGGGCAAAAATCCGGCGACTACCACGACAACATGAACAACAAAAATTACATGCAATGGGTCATAAATCAACTGATACCAAACTTAAATCCTAACTCTGTATTGGTTATTGACAATGCGAAGTACCACAACAAGCAAATTGATAAGGCCCCGACTTCCAATAGTAAAAAAGAAGAAATGACAAAGTGGCTTTCCGAGCACAACATTTCCTACGATCCAACAATGCTAAAACCTCAACTTTACAAACTCATTCTTCAACACAAACATCGATATGTCAAATATGTCCTGGATGACATCTTGGAAAGGGAAGGCCACAGTGTACTGCGTCTGCCCCCGTATCATCCTGATTTGAACCCAATCGAGATGATATGGGCAGATGTAAAAAACTATGTTGCATCACACAACACGACCTTCAAATTGTGCGATGTGAAAAAGCTTTGTGAAGAAAAGTTTTCTTCGATATCGCAACAGGATTGGGAATGTAAGTGTAGGCACGTTAAAAATGTGGAAAATGAATACGCCGCCAAAGAGCCAGCCATCGATGAAATAACGGAAAGTTTTATCATTAATGTAGACGACAGCACCAGCGACGACGAGGGAACGAGCGACTCCGATGAATTCAGCGATATGTCTGGGATTGAGGAGTTATGATGGACCAACTCCTGATGGACCCATGGGGTTTGTGGCAGTTTAGTTCTATTAAGTTATTTCTTGTAAGAACATTTATTTGAATAGTTTTTTAATGTACGATTTTAGAACAATTACTAATTGACCATGCGTTGTAGTTATGTTCATACGTGTGTATATAATGTATAAGCTTTTTATACTGCCTTTTAATTTGAAGTACAAATTTTTAATTTATTATTTTTCATAATTTTTTAGTGGTTTACCAGAGTTTTTTACTGTGATTTCAAGTGTAAATTACGGTACCCGTGTTTTCAGAACATTAGCGTGGATTATTTATAGTGTAAATACGAGTATCATCTATTTGCTTAGTATTTTTGTTATTATAGTTATAATTCTAAAGTAACCTTTTATTGTCTGTTAAGTATCGGTACCCAGAACATTAACATGGATTAATTAATTATATAGTGTGCATATGTAATACGTTTCTTGTAATATTGTTAGTGTTGTTATTATAGTTATAATTATTGTAAAGTACCCTCATATTGTCTTGTTTTACTGTGGTTTCAAGTATAGCTACTCAGAACATTAACATTGATTAATTAATTATATAGTGTGCATATGTTATCCGTTTCTTGTTATACAGTATTGTTATTATTATAGTTATAATGATTGTAAAGTACCCTCATATTGTCATGTTTTACTGTGGTTTCAATTATTGGTACGTAGAACATTAGCATGTATACATTATTTAGTGTAGGCCTAATGATTTACATATTTCGTGTTGTATTGTTAAAATTGTTACAATTTTACCATGTTTATTAAATGTACAGAGTTGTATTGATGTGTTTTATAGTGTTATATATATTTTTTATATACCGGTACGGTAGGTTTGTTATAGTGTTTTATTATTAATATTGTAATTAGTTTAACGTACTGTAAATATGACGTGTAATATTATATACAAATTTGTGATATTCTTACTTATAGATTAATCCTGTATTTTTACGATGAATGTGAATATGTAAATATTATAAAAATGAGTTTAAAAAAATAAAAAAGCCGGAAGGCCGCTATAAATATTTTTTGAGTGGATCTGTAATATCAACCGGATCATTCATTTAATATGTAAGCGGCTAATATACACAACGTGGGGAATACAACTTCTTTGGCTCGGTCAAGAATAGGCAAAAAATAGGTAAGCCCACAACATTATTTAAACAACTTTGTTTAAATTTCATTGATGGTGATGATGAGTTTATAACATTGAACATATTATTGCAACCATTTTCCGTCACTATTAGCTCTATTAGTAAAACAAATCATAAAAAGCGCAACCTAAGCACCCATGCTCCCTAGTTACATTAACAACTGTTCATAAAAAGTGTTTAGAAAGTTTAGTTTATTAATTGTTAATGGATGCAGTGCATACAACCATACAACACATCTAACATTTTGTATGCCGTCTACTGAAGCGCCTTCAAGAGAGCAGTGAGGGCAGTAGACGCAACCCGCATGACGGCAGACAATATTTTTAACCTAGGCTAGTACAGAATTTCTATCTATCGGTCACGCGCCAGCTTAGCTGACGCTAGCTGTACTCTGATTCAGTATAAGTACTTGTTGCAGATATTACCGCTGTTTGTGGTTGAAAAAAAACAGCCCATACAGGTTTTTGACGACAACCTTGATAAGTGTGTTAGAGACGAAATCCTTACTAATTTCACATGGAAAGGGCAAAAAAGAGGAGGCGTTAAAAATCTTCATTTGCAGATTTGGCATTTTGCAATGTTTTAATAAGTAAGTATTGATTGCCAAATATAACCTTTTCTATATTAATTTAATTTCTTCTGGGGTTGTAGATGTTTGTTTGAGGCACTTGTATGGTTAACTTTTAAACCTCCACCAATAATAACAAAATCAAACTAAACACAGGGATTATTTTGCGATGAGATGAAATTGTCAACTTATATGTAACTGTTATAATTTAAAAAGTCCAATAACAATTAATTTTTCAATTATTCACGCTCATAACAAATAATTGAATCAGTTTTTTATAAAAGGCCTCATGTAATTTTTTTTACAAATTGACTTTTGGTCGAAAATCAATAAAACATACATATCTGCATATTTATTTATGAACGGGCTCTTGTCAAACCTGTTGTAATGCATATTGAAGCCAGCTGAAATCTGTAATTGTTTATGAAACGGCTCATGTCACGGTGGGGCACACGGAAGATTTCTCAGGTGCCGTTTGACATCACTAACTGCTGACGTCACTAACCGCTGCTTCTGAAGAAACAGACAATTTTATAATTTTTCTATTATTAAATTAAACTGTCATAACCTTACCAAACCAACCAAACGTGCTGATGATGGAAAAATCGAATGTAGGTTTAACTTACTAATCTAAAAAATAGTTTTGTTCATAAAATAGAACTATAAATGCCTAAAATTCAATTTTTTAATTTTTTAATTATAAAATTAAACTGTCATAAACTAACCAAACCAACCAAACATGCTGATATAAAAATTGTTGACAAAAAGTAAGTGCTACCAGCGGGATTCGAATCCAGTACATTTGTATTATCAGACCGGCACGCTATCCACTACACCACCGAGGCAGATGACGCGAAACCGTATAGTTGCGGTAATGGTGTTCCCTCAAAGTGACGTCAGCAGTTAGTGACGTCAAACGGCACCTGAGAAATCTTCCGTGTGCCGTTTCGGCTCACGTCAGAGACAGAAGCCCTTTCATGAACAAAGTTAGGTTGGCAGCGCATGCGCATTAGAAGTTTTTTCCTGTCAGCTGAGCTTCTGCTGGGCTGGTTTTTCTTCTACAGTCCCATTCTAAGGGAGTTGAGGTTATGTTTGTTTGGTAAATTCAAGCTACTTTATGCTCGTTTAGCCTACTCAAGTGCTTTTTTAAAATGTTAGAAAGTGAAAGTCCTGACGACGAAGGCCTAGGTAAAGAAACAAATAAACGAGAAAGAGGTGTACGAAATATTGAAAAATATAAAGTGAATGTTATTAAAAAGGCCATAATTCGAGGTGATGAATACGTCAACTACAAAGGAAATGTTAGGCTACAGAAACACGTACTGGAATACCATGCACTTAAGTTGAATGTTTATCTATGCTTTACCAACATTCCAGTTAAAAGTAAATCCAGTAGTATATTCCAGTAAAGTGTTAGTATTTGCAGTTACCAACATTCCTAACTTAGAAACAAAGTCAAATCCCCTTTCAATTTTTATTATGTTGCTTTCTAAGAATTAGTTTATGTCTTTATTTGATTATTTTTTTGGAAAAAACTTTGCTGATTTTTTATTTTCTCTAATACATAGTAGAGACGAAAGTTTATTAAAAATGTAGTCACCAATTTATCTCTAAACCGAAAAGACCTTAAGACGTTAAGGCCTGATAAATTCTATTTTTTAGGTGCAGAATGAAATGTTTTGAACGTATAACTGAAGAGGACCAATTAGATATTCTAAATAGGGAGGAAGCTTTCAAAACAAAGATGAACAAGATTTGTTTTATCAGTCATTAATAGAAGCCCAGCCTGTTAAAACTAGAAGATCAAGAATTACTACACAAACTGAAGAAGGACTTAAACCTAAGCATTCTGTTGCACATGAAAGTTCTTTTACCTTTCATGTACTGGTTGGTGAAAAAAGTTAAAGTTTGCAAAAAGGCTTTTTTGAGTTTTTATTGAATAGGCGATAAAAAGGTTAGAAGATTTAAAAATTTACTTTTAATGGGTAAGTCACCTAGGGACTGAAGAGACAGCAGATAAATAGGAAAACGTTTCCTAAAAATTATACGGATCAAATAAAAAAGCACATTCAGTCCTTCCCTTTAAAAATAAGCCACTACTCATCTAAGGAAATTAAGTACTTAGACGCCAACCTTGATATCAAGAAAATGCACAATCTGTTCTTAGACAAATTTGAGGGAAGCGATGTAGTTTATAGCTACTATTATAAAGTATTTAAAGAGCATTTTAACTACCGGTTTGGAAGGCCCCAGATTGACACTTGCCGAGAGTGTGAATTGCTTAATACTCGCATTAAAAGCCCCCAACTAAATGAGACTGCCAAACGAGTAGCTGTAGCACAGCGATTAGTTCACAAGAAGCGTAGTAACAAATTTTATAAATCACTTCGTGAGACCAAAGATTACTGCACCTCACACAAAAACGCTTTACTTTTATGTTTTGACTACTGTGCTAACATATCTTTGCCAACCCTTCCAATTCAGGACGTTTATTACCTCAGACAGTTGTCAGTTTACCCATTCGCTATTCACAATAGCAATAATGACTCAGCAACTTTTTACCTATACCATCAAGGTGTTGCTGCTAAAGGTTGCAATGAAGTTTGCTCTTTCATACAAAAATACGTTAATGACAATGTACCTGCAAATGTTGATGAATTGTACCTATACAGTGATAATTGCACAAAACAACAAAAACCACACCATGATTAGGTTTTTGCAATATCTCATAGACATTAAAAGATAAATAAGAAATAACCCAAGAATTATAATAAATATCCCTTGATACACACGAGAAGTATTTAAAAAAATAATTGAAAGAATGAATGCACCAAACTTAAATTTAGTAGTGTCAAGGGAAGAGAATTGGGCCGGAAACAGATGTCGGCAGATGGTAGAATGTCAATTAGTTTAAAGCTGGTAGTATGGCGTAAAACGCCGGAAATGACGTAGAGGGTGGTGGGCACGGTGTTACGTCACAAAGTGACGTAGTTACAATACAGAATACTACGAATTATCTTTGACCGTGCCTGTCTGTTGCAATTGATGGTGGTAATGGTTTTTCGTATAATTGGTGTGAGGTATGATATTTTTTGTTATGGAATACGTCATCAGAGGGTGACGTATGTGGTATGACGTAGGATTGGAATTATAAGTCAAAACTGCAGACTTTGAATGTATGCTTACTCCAGTGTTGCCATTTGGACTTTACAATGACATAAACATGTTACAAACATATGTACATAGACAGAAAAAAAAACTTAAAACTAACATTGATGACTGAAGTGTAGAGATAGTTCAGCGGAATTGTTGCCACAAACTCCGATCAGGTTTTTGCAATATCTCATAGACATTAAAAGATAAATAAGAAATAACCTAAGAATTATAATAAATAATCATCACTTGATACACACGAGAAGTATTTAAAAAAATAATTGAAAGAATGAATGCACCAAACTTAAATTTAGTAGTGTCAAGGGAAGAGAATTGGGCCGGAAACAGATGTCGGCAGATGGTAGAATGTCAATTAGTTTAAAGCTGGTAGTATGGCGTAGAACGCCGGAAATGACGTAGAGGGTGGTGGGCACGGTGTTACGTCACAAAGTGACGTAGTTACAATACAGAATACTACGAATTATCTTTGAACGTACCTCTCTGTTGCAATTGATGGTGGTAATGGTTTTTCGTATAATTGGTGTGAGGTATGATATTTTTTGTTATGGAATACGTCTTCAGAGGGTGACGTATGTGGTATGACGTAGGATTGGAATTATAAGTCAAAACTGCAGACTTTGAATGTATGCTTACTCCAGTGTTGCCATTTGGACTTTACAATGACATAAACATGTTACAAACATATGTACATAGACAGAAAAAAACTTAAAACTAACATTGATGACTGATGTGTAGAGATAGTTCAGTGGAATTGTTGCCACAAACTAGTGTTCAAATGAATTCACACCGCGCCTAGGTCACTCTTTTATACTAGTTTTTTTTATATTTTTAATTACACTTCTTGGGTTGCAGGTTCTTCTTGGTTTATAGTTTCATATTCTTCAACAACTTCTACCGCTTCTTCAACAATTGATTCGAAGTTCCTTAACTGTCTCCACATACCAACTTCATGTGGCAATCGATTAAACATAGATGTATCCACGTGTCCGTATAATATGGTGGTTTCCGGTTGTTTTTCCAGTGTATCAATTAAATACTCCTTGATGATTGAACTTGAGAATACAAGTTGTTTCATATATCTAGAGATAGAAGACGACGCATGCATTAAAATGTAGAACTCTTCACGTGAAAGTAAAATTTTACTTTCATGTTGAGTTAAATCTCTAAATCGTACTTGTAGTGTTCCACGATTCTTTACTATGTCAATTTCACTGTCAGAATCCAAAAGTCGAATATTAGTTTTCCTTCCGCAAACATTAGTATTTAAGTAACATTCAATTAGATTTAAATGTTTTAGAAAAGATTCCCATGCCGTTTCAGAAAAAAACATTTTTGTACCATGCTGCAAGATTACTGTGGGTGTATATTCCGATGATATCATTAGTCCAGCTGTTACACTTTTACTTAAACATAGTGAGATAGGATAGTAAATGCGTAGGAAAACTTCTTTCAAAATATTAATCGGTATTGTATCTTCATCTTTCCGCTTCCTCTTAGTGCCATTTTTTAAGTTTTTTCTTCTATTTCTTCTTTTTCTTCCTTGTCTTCTTTGTCTTCTTGTTTTCGAAACTTTAAAAATTCTTCTATATAATTTACGATTTCTTCATGGTTTTCTTCTTCCAATAATGCTGCTTCCTCTGCATGCTTTTGTACGACTGATGGAAAACTCATTTTACTTATGATGTAGTGTAGGATGTTACCCATTCAACGAACAAGCAAAGACTGATTGGTGGTGTGCAAAGCTCCTCCTTTTATAGCCGACTGGTGGTTGGGGTGAAACTCATTTACAACACTGTTTTGACTAATCCCGTCAATGGTGTGTAAGTTACAATTTTATCATGCAACATTCAACAATAGGCAGATGTTGCATCAGGAACGTTCTCTTCAAACTCCATTTCTATTTTTATATTCACACTTGATGACTTTACAGATTCGTTTTGTTTTGAACAATCTATTACAATTGTTGGAGCTTTTGATTCATAATGCTCGGAAGACAGTATCGGGGTGTTTGTTTCCCCGTAGTATTAACTTTGGAATCAAGAGTACTTATTATACAAAACAGTGTACCTCTTCTTAGTGAAAGAAATATTAATGTTGTCGTAAGGGAAAAATTGTGAATTAAAAACACTTTACAATTTGTTAGTTTGCAATGATCAAAATTACTGGCATTAGCTAATATATTATTCCTTTTTTGTAGTTTAAATATTACATATATTGCTTTTTCCAAATGAGTAGATGTTTTTACAGTCCATGTATGTCATTGTGTTTTAAGTAAAACTGGATATTCATGAAATTCCCAACTTCTGAATGGTATCACAATATCTCTATCTGATATCAGTTGTCTCAACAGTGTTATTCTATGTTCGTCATTTAATCGCACATGTGGTACTCTCCAAACAATTTTGTCCAAAGTTAAATTCCAAGTCTAAATTTGCATCAGTGGTTCAAGCTGCTGCGTAAATAGTATCCTTATCATTTGATGATCTTAATAACACTAATTCCTGTTCCACATTTATTATTACTCTTGTGTAATCTTCAGCAAAGCCTAGAAATAATTGCAATGGTATGTGGAAATCAAAGTTCCCTGCTGAATCAGGGGTGATTGTGTCTTTATCGGGAGCAATCCATCCTCCAATGCTTAACAAATTCCTCTAGTTTTGTGTTAAAGATGCTAATCCTTTTAACGTGCTTGTTAAACCTACTTTCTTTGTACTTTCTTTGTTACTCCAGATATTTCATATCTAATTTCATCAAATAAAAATGCCATTGGATTATTAATAAAAGGAACGGTGGTTACAGCTGTCCCATCTTTCTTTGTTACTCTTCCTTCAATATATAGATAACTTTGGCACGGAAGAGTGTAAATATCCTGTTGTTGTATAGGAATTCTAAATTCATCATTATTATTCTATTTTGACGAAGCGTAGGGGTTGTGCGTGTGATACTCCTTTTCCCACAAAGTCTCGTCGAATGTCAGTCCTTGTGCTATATCCAGTATTTCCATTTTCAATGAGTTTAAATCCAATATCTTGTAAAAACAGAATGTTTTCAGTAGTTTTAATCCTTTTGCAGATGATGACCTAGTTAGGTGTTTACCCGACAACTCTCTCTTCTTGAATGACAATCCCATGGTTTAGGTGGATGCTTTTATGTGAATCCTGATCGTAATACGTTCTTCTCTGAAGTCTATGAGGTTTCCGTCTTGATCTAGTATGTTCTACACGATGTCTGAAACTACACTGGTGTTTAAGGGAAGGTACACCAAGTTTTGTGGCTTTCCACAATCTTAAAACCTGGGGCGACTGTCGGATAGAATGTGTGCAATATATGACTATTTCCCCCTTCTCTGTATGATCCTTGAATTATGTTACATGTAATATCTATAGTATTAACTCTCAGTATTGTTACAGTTTTATCACCGGAATAGGTCTGTTTAGGTTCTAGTATTGGAGTTTTTTTTCTTCAGAAAATCCCAATAATCCTCCAATTGAATGTTTTTGAGTAAAATCAATATAATACGAAGATGTTATGTCAGCTTTCATGGTATTGTTATTTCCTGTTATTGTTATATATTAAGAATTTGGAAAAATTGAATTTACTGTGTTATTCTTTGGTAATGTAAAATTTTAAAAGTACAAATCTACCGTGTCTTTTTGATCTTGGAAATTGAAGATTTCCAAGACAATCTTCCTTTAGCATCCCGCATAAGGTAATCAGTTCTTTTCGGATGTTCAGGGTTTACAACA